GGAAGCCACAGGTACGGGCTGAACCCTTCAGGTGCTTTGGGATGAAAAAAGTGAACGATGCGAGTAATTGCATCCCTCATAACAATGCCTTTAAAAGACACAAATACATGATACTTACGTTGAAATTTATTCACCTGGTAGGTGACATCAAACCACATACTAGGAAGCATTTTAGTATTGTAATTAAGGGTACAGATTTTGGAGTCAAAATTAAGAAAATTTTCTTAATGAGAATAAGCACTCCTAATTGGTCTCTTTTCTAAAATGTTGACTTTTGAGTACTTAACATGGGAGTATTCACAGAACGCAAAAGACAGACAAAGGATAGCTTCAATATTCAAAATTATCATTAATATTAATCTCTCATTAGAAAAAAAAGAACAAATTAATTTCATGAGTTAGTAAGTTTTAGGCAAGAAAACAAAGGCACCTGCTTTCTTGGATGCCACTGTTCGCACCACACACTCTCTGTACTGGAGGCATCCACCTGCTTCCATCCCTCAGCCCTCTACGCCCTGCTCCCCACGGAGACGGAGCCGCTGACTCCATTCTGGTCTCCAGACTGTGCTCACGTGGTCCACCCTCTGCATCATCTCCTCCGTCTGCCTCCGCGCCACGCTGCGCAGGGCGGCCTGCAGCTGCCAGGGGAACAGGCACCGACTCTCTTCACTGGCTCATGATGCAAGGAGGTGGAGAGTTAAGCTCATAAACAGAAACTTTCAATACGACTTTTAAAAAAAGCAGGACGTATATATGCTTGAGGTACACGTGGCCACATAACGGGGAACGATGCCACGCCACAGCTATGTAGCGATGCCATGAAATGACTTCACTGGAGGAGCAACGCCTGAGCTGAGCCTGAAAGACAAGGGGCAGGTGGCCACAGAACGGGGTGAGGAAGTTCCACGTAGAGGGAATCCAGACAGTGACAGTTAAAAATACTCCGGGGCACTGCAAAGTAGCACACAGTGTAGTCTCGAGACAGGCAGGGGCCACTGATAACAGATTTGTGTATATCAGTTAAGAAACCAGAAAATTATCCCTGAGACCATGGAGAACCACTGACGACATGTAAACAGGAGGATAATGTGCCCGGGAACACATGTGGATGGATGTAAGAGTCACAGGCTTGGAGAAACGGTGATGCGTGAGGGGAAAGGCAGTAAAATAGACAAAATATGGAAGAGGCAGGGAAGGAGCATGACCCTCAGGAGGCTGCAGTGGCCTGAGGGGCCAGCATGCCACTTACTGCAGACTCCGAGTAGGAGCGCCCTCTCTCCTAAGTGTCTGTCACGGCCTATGTGAGGCGACAGGCCCCAGTCACCAGGAACACAGTCCTGATGCCCAACGTGAAGAGGTAACAGGCCGCTCGGCAAAAGATGAGAATGCAGATTTATCTTTTCTGTGGATGCTCTTATATTTTTCATTACTGTATTCATGACCTAACCTCTTCCCATCGCCCACTCAACAAGGGACTGGCAACTGCACCCTTCCCACCGTGATGAAGCCAGGGCAAGCTGTGGCCAAACACACATTCCCTGCTTTTCTGTGCCATGAGTGTGCGTGTGCGTTGGACTAAAGGTCAGCTTTTACAGTCCATTTCGTTAATCTCTCTGCTCGTTGCTGTCACTGCGTAAGCCAGGAGTACCCTTCTGATTGCCCAGGTGATCCAGCGGGCAACACTGGCAGCCGCACTGGACGTTGGCACTCGGTTAACAAACTATGGTATGCAGCCACCTGTACACACAGCTGTGAGATGCCTGGGTGGGAACTCTTCTGACCACTGCACGTTGAATTGCTTATCTTTTATCTGGCTACATTGCCGGAGGTTGGATAATTCCAGACCCGCAACCATCTGTGCAGCAACGGAGATAAAGAATATCTGCCGGGACCAAGAAGGCAAGAGCGAAAGTCTTCTGCGCACAAGGGGAGGCATCAGAGGTATTCGCGTCATGTAACCATGCAGTGTTCTGTCTCACTTGCATGACTGGAAGTGGGAAGTTTTACTGTTACCCAAGGATACCACCTTGGTCAAGTCTGGAGGTGTCTTTTGACAAAACATAAAACGGGCAGGACTTGGTGGGTGCATGAAGGGAAGGGGAGATGAGGCTGAAGAAGGGGAAAATGATGACCCTACGTCACCAGCCTGCACGCTTGGGTGAGTGAGGCTGCCACCATGGGAGACACAGAATGGAGAAAGCATCCAAGGAAAAATAAATAAGCGCAATTTTGGCCTTACTGAACGTTGAATTCAGGGCTGGAAACATATGTCTTACTGAGCACGAGGATAAATCAACGTGGGCCTGAGGGCCTTCAGTGATTAGGGTCAGACTCACAGGGGCACCACAGGGGCAGTGAGAAGAACCCGGGGAGGGCAGAACTTCAAGGACACAGACCTTCCTCCTTCTAGACCAGGGGTCCCCCACCTTTTTGGCAGCAGGGACCAGTTTCATGGAAGATAATTTTTCCATGGACGGGGCCGGGAGGGATGGGGAGCGGCTGTAAATACAGTGAAGCTTCCCTCGCCCACTGGCTGCTCACCTACTGCTGTGAGTCCTGGGTCCTAACGGGCCATGGACCAGGGGTTGGGGACTGCAGTTCTAGACCCCGTGAGCTCCAGAAGAGCAGCGATTTGTGTTTGCTTTGTTATCACTACAACCTAAAACAGGTGTTGGAAAATAGAAGGTGCCCAATAAATATGCTTATTATTGAACTGAACTTCAAGGGCCAGTTAGATGAACCTGAGAAAAGCACTCAGAGAAGGATCCTGAACATAAATGCAAAACCAGCCAAGAGCACAGAAATTTTCAGAAAAGGAAGGGACCCTTTCCTGAATATTCCTGCCCACGTAGATTGGGCTGTTTATGGCCCCAGTTCCTTTCTCCCTGTCATAGTTCACACGAGGAGATTTTTGGTCAATCCAGTGTATGAACTGGGTTTTAAACTGGTGGTGCTTTTCATCTGAACTGGCAGCAATGCCCAGTTCTTCTTCCCAGCTTCCTCTTCTTGCAATGTGTTTAGCACCCTGGCTTCTCCAAACAGGATAACAAGTCTGTCCTTATTCCCACCTCACCAATGACTGAAACTCCATTTCTAATATTTGGAATCTAACTACTCTCCCACAACTTTCCGAATGCCAACAGCTCCCCGTCTGACCTTAATTCATTGCCATGAGTTCCTACTGCTGTGTTCTGATCACTTTAGGAACACCACATTACGTAATCTGCAATCCCCACATTGCTGACATTTTGCCAAAACAGAGCCAAACCACCCTAAACCTCCACTTCTGACGGCAGCAATGGAGACAGACCTTCCGGAGCTCAGGAGAACCTGGATCCTCCGCTCCCACCTCTTCGCTACAACTGCGTATGGCATGGTTCACGTTTTATTCTGCAAAGGGCAATATACTTTGCAGTTCTGGCCTACTTGAAAACTAATTCTATCATACTTAAAATAGGTTTTCTAAAGAAACTTCATAAAAGCCATTTAAAAGTCATTTGAGAGTAAACTTCTAGAAATGTTACAGTCAAACGCAAGAATTCATTTAGGACATGAGATGATAATTCAGTGAATCCTAATTATTTCTAAATGAAGGCAACCTGAAGTCATTTCTGGCATTTGTTCTTATTATTATGCAAATAAATAGCCTCAAATGAAGAGTGAGGTCCAAGTAGACCTAAAATATGATAAACTTCTAGAATGTTCATCTATTTACAAAAAAGCATGTTTTAAATATATGTGTGTATATATACACACACTTACACAAATCTTATATCCTGTTTAAATTTCTATGTATGCTCGTATATATACATTTATGTACCTATCCACCTAAACACATGTCGTTTAAAAAAAGAAAGGATTGGTGTCGAGGGAACATTAGGAATGGTGATTACACACTGCTGTAAGGACAGAACTAGCCCATGAGCAAGTGCAACATTCAGCGACCTACAGGCTTGAGAATGACTGAGATAGCTCCGCATCTACAATACCTCTCACTAGGACCCACAGGGAATCAGGGCACCACCCACAGTTGAGGGAGTTGGTCATGCACCTTCTCAGGCCTGAGCAAATGGGACCTGCACAGCTAAGTACCGCCAACCACTCGGGCATTTAGGCCAAATGAGGAGACACGAGGGGAAGCCTTTGGGCAGCTGAGGGGAGAAAAAAAAACCCGGGTGTTTAGAGGAGGCCTGGCGGACATAACAAAGAAAAACTGCAGCACGTGGCAAAAACCTTTCTGTTCCGCGCCTTGCCTGCTGCAGTCACTGGAAGGGTCGCTACGGGCACTTCCCTGCGCAGCTCTGAACACTGAAAGCCCTTTCCTTAGGTACAACATCGGAAGACCTAGAAAGGATTTCTCTTCCTACTTAGAGGTTCTGACAATTAGAGAAAAACATAGGGTCCACTGTTCTCAACCCAACCACAGACCATATTGTAAGAAATTATCTGATAGGAATCAAACCATCACGATGTGATAGCTACCTGGTTGAGGCGAGCTGAGGAAAGAGGTTTAAGAAAGAAGGATAATATATATCTTATATGGACGTGAGATCTGCAGTCATCTAGATCAATCATCAAGAACATCTTAAAAGCAATAAAGTAAAAAATAAAACACAAAAGAAAAATAAAAGCGACTTAATGCACTTAAAACCTTGAATTTACCTAACTTTTAGGATTTACTATTCAATATATTCTGGGTCAATAATATTCACTCTACATCATTGATTTAAACTACACAAAATAAATTTTGCGTTAGGTATCATGTACTTATTGACACAACTAAAAAACAAATGTGACTGCAAAATTCATATGTTCAAAATCTTTGAATAGGATTCTTTATCCAAAAAATAATTATTTGATTATGACTATAAATCTAAAGTTCTACAATAAAATGTAGCTGTTTTAAGGGAAGTCGTAACAATATTCCTCTTTCACTTGTAAGGCATTACTACCTCCTAGACAACCCTTCCAGCAAGGCAGGGAAGGTGTGGCCCTCTCACCTGCAGGATGGACACGGTCTGGGAGAAGTGGTGCTGCTCCATGGTGGAGGTGGAGTAGAGAGCCGCCAGGGGGTGGTCAAACTTCTGCAGGTAGCTGTTGCTGAAGCCCCTGTGGTCCAGGTCGTGACACAGACAGGCGATTAGCAGTCCTTTGCGCTTAAAAAAAATAACATAAAGCAGAGATGTTCACGACAAAGAAGTGGGATATGAGGAGACTTACAGCTTACACTCATATCACATTAATTTCTACCATTAATACAGCAAATACCCTTAGGAATCTTTGAAATTCCACATAATCTAACTTCTTTTTAACCCCTTTGTTTCTCTGCTTATGACACTGACAATCAAATTATTTTGGAGGGACCCTGCTCAACTCTAGGAAAGGGAGCAGGAGGTATCAAATTAACAATATAAAGCAAATGTTTGAAAGAGTTAAAGATAAAACAAATCTGCACAAGAAAAGGTCAGTTTCAACTCTCCTTCATTAAGAAACCAATTCAATTTAAATTCTAACAATGCTATTGTTATTATAAACAATGAATATAACAAGTAAATCACATAGCATGTAAAAATGGCACATTCTATAGAGATAAATGAAAAGCAGAGCAGGCTACAGGGGATGGAGGGAGGCAGGCCCACAAAAAGGCCAGGGGTGAGCACGGACGGACGTGAGAGAGGAAGGAGAGAGGCGAGCAGGTGCCTGGGAGAGGAACAGGGGCAGGGGAGCAGGACAGCACACACGGAAGGTGAGCACGCCCTGAGAGTTCAGAGGACCAGGGCGGGGGTCAGGGGTGGGGGACAGGGGAGGCTGTAGTTGTTTAGGCCTCATTTTCTCAGTCACTGAGGAAACTGTTACAGGCCTTGTAGCAGAGCAATGTCATTATCTAACTCACATTTTTAAAAGATCATTCTGGCAACTGTACTGAAAACAGACTCCACGAGAATAAGAGAGACCAGAGAAGAGGCTTTCGCAGTAATTGAGGCAAAATATAACAGAAGTTTAGACCAGGATAATTACAATAGAAGCTGTAAGATGCGATTACAGTCTGAAGCATTCTGCAGGCAGAACCAACAGGATTTTCTGTCTGGGTGTGCAAAGAAAGGAGGGAAAGAGGGGGCTCAAGTGCGACCTTGAGGGTTTTGGCCTTAGAAACTGTAACGATCGCCATCAGCTAGTACGGGAAAGCGCGGGCGGAGCAGGTTTGAGGAGAGCGGTCTAGAGTTCAGGGTTGGATTGAGGTGAGATGTCCACTTGACAGTCAAGTGAGGATTTGTCAAGGGGAATTTTGAGGTGACCTTTGGCTATTTAAGTCTAAAGCTCTTTGGTTGGAGAATTGAAACTGTCACTGTACACGTGGCATTTAAAGCCATGGGAATGGCTGAGCTCGCCAAGGTTGTGGCTTGAGAACAGAGCAGGGTCAACCTCCGAGCTCCCAAGTACTTCAACTCTAAGTCTGAGGAAAGAGAAAGAATCAGCAACAAAAACTCCAAAACAAAACAAGGGAGGGGCAGCCAGTCCAGCCACAGGAAAAACAGAGTGCTGGTGTCCTGGGAGCAAGGGAGGGCACGGAGCAGAAACGCTGAGCCCTGGCGCTCAGATCCCACAAGGTTCAGGTCGCCAGTGACCTGGACCAGAGCGTTTTCCTTCTGATCAAAGTCAGAAGGCTGATCAGAGCTGTTTTCAGAAAGAATGGAGGAGAGGATCTGGAAGCCAATGCAGCAACCCTTGCATAGGGTTCGCTCCAAAGAGGAGCTCAGACATGGGGGCGTAGCCGAGTGAAGCTGACGTCAAGAGAGTATCCGAAGGTGGGAGCAGTAAGAGCGTGCTGACGTGCGGACGGGCGACCCAGTGAAGACAGGCGGAAGCATGACATTGGAGGAGGGGGCAGAACCGCTGGGCAGCGAGGCGACAGATACGATGAAGTGAAGGGTGGGCTCTGGAGGGGCGTGTGGGAGGCAGAGGCTGCTGCAGGCAGACGCGGACAGGCAGGCTCCGCCATGGGAGTCAGCAGGGGTGCTGGCAAGTGTGTTTTCATCCACATGCCCTGCTCCTGCTTTACGCTGATGAGACCTGAGCTTGTGGGAAAATGTCATGATGTAATTCCAGAAACGAATTAGAAACCTACATGATAGTCAATATGTATCAACAAAGTTTTTCTCATTTATCTTTAAAATTTCCAGTTTTTTGAATATATTAACAAATTGCAATGCTATTTGAAAGTATAATTTCTATAGTTCTTAAACTCACAGGCTATCCTATCACAAAAGAGACAATGAAATTGCTTTCTTAAGAGGAATGAATGCTCAAAGTCTCAAAAATATGGGGTTCAGTGGAATAGAAAATTGTTTAGACAAACTTATGTGAAAAAAGAACAGATTTCATCTGGATTTTGGGGGAAGTGATAAATAATAACTTATTTATTAGGTTAAATTCCACTTCAACTAAACATTATTTAAAAAAACAAAAATACAGGAACACATCTGACTCTTTCTTTAAATTTTTTGTTTTTTCTGGAACGCACCTTCCAAGTTTTCTGCTCAGACTGTGAATATGGTGTGATAGGATGGAAAATGCATAGGACAGGCCTTCAGGAGTACTGGGTTCTAGTTTAAAAATGTGACTTTGAGAGAAGTGCAGTCCATTTATCGCAGAGATGACAGCCTCCTTCTCTGCACAGTCAGATGTCATCCAAAGGATGATACCAGTTCCGCAGCGGAGGGAAAAAAGAGGACGCCATCTAGGTTGTGAGTCAGCGCCACTGGGACCAACGTGGTCAGAGGGACACACCTCAAGGTCTGGACTGTCCAGACGTGCACTCAGCATCACTTGGGGCCAGGGAACTCCCTGTCACTAAGTACCTGGCTGGGCTTTCCAGTGAGGGGATTCCACTATGGTAGGTCAATGGACAAGGCGGTCTCCAAACCTAATTCTGAAATTTTGAGAGTTTGGGTATGTCACCAACTCTGGATATATAAAGTCAGGTAAATCAATTAAACACCTCAGCTCCCCCATTTCTCTATGCTAAAGAAGGTCAAAATCATTTCTATCTTAATTGGACTTAATGCTCTGGGTTCTCAAATCTGCAGGAGATATCTATATTACCCAGGACATATGGGCAATGAGAAAAATTCACTGTTTATATCCATTCAGAATACTTAAGCTTTAATTGGGAAGAAAGACTATAAAAATTAGTGCTTCCATGGGGTATATTTTGGCAAAGTTAAAATATATGTATCTGTAGTTCTTATACAAAACAATATGCTAAATGCTTGGGTATAGGAATCTAAAAAATGTGCCTCTATTGATTTACTGAGCCAAAATTAGTCCCGGAAAAACAATGCCACGAACCCATGTCATTAATGTGCTCTGGACATAGACTATTAAATCCACTGAGGTTATGTGAAACAGGTGACAGAGTGGGCACACCCACCTCCAGGTCTGTGAAAAGGTCGTGATTGTTCTGAAGTATGGCATACATGCAGTGTGCCACCGTGACCGCATGTTTCCAGTTGTGATACGGAACTCGACGATAGTTCTTCTTCACGGACATGATGAAACGACACAACTTTTCAAGCTCAAAGCTGTGTGGAAAAGAAACTGTTATGACCAAAACCAGTAGAGATTCACTGTATTGTCGGAGAGCCCTATAGTTTAGGCCCACAAATGTCTGTACCCTTACACACTCGCGACTGGGAAGATTTCCACATTGACTAAATCCACGAGCACCATTCCCCTTCCATTTTTCTAGCCAGGACACTAGAGAATGGAGACTCTTTTATAGTTTTTGTTCTGATATATTAACTGTCTCACCAGGAATAAAACGCCAGAATTAACACATGGTCACCCATCACTAACCTCCATGATGTTCCTTAGATTTACGAACATTTCTTATACCCTGCCGTGCTCAAAAGACAACAACATAGCATCATCCTGCTCAAGGGTATTTTGAGCCAATATTTTCCAAAAAGCATATTTAGATTCATAAACTGCAAATATGTATGTCATGAGACTATTCTGGATGGGTGAATATCCTTTCAAAGTAAATCTAACATATTATTGTACACTCAAGTTGTTAAGTGGCAAGTGACCATATCCAAATACTGACGCAGTATATGGAATGATATGACATGTATATATTCTTATATATTTTGTCATTATATTTTATTTTTATATATCTTTATATTAACATATATTTATACTTAAGGCCCTACCAACTCTCAAAATAGATTTAAGGTAGCTTAAAATAAAAGCATATCAATATAAAGCAGGGCTCTCTGAAATACCAAAGAGACTGAGAATTCATAAAAACTTTTAAAAATATATAACCTGTATTCTCCTCTACAGAAAATTTTCAAATGTCCTTGAAATATAAGGTATGGTATTTTAAGAGTTTCCACTGGCCAAACTCTCAAATGCTAGGAATTAATTGGGGTTAGTCGTCCTGTGTGCATCCTTCTAGAACGGCAATTTACAAAAAAGTCACTGACACACTCAGCAATTTATAAAAAGACACAGAATTCAAGAACAAGACACTTTAGTTATAGAGAAACTAATAGGTTCTATAAGGCATTTCATGCCTAAACGAATAAAACAGAGCAAAATAAAATATTCCTTGTATTTTAACTTTGTGTGTTTAAGCTATAAAAAAATCAAATATAAAGTCATGAAAGGCCTTTAGAGTAGGCCAAAGTGGATGGGGAAAGACTGCGATGAAATGGTGCCATAATCAAATTACCGACAAAGCATCATACTCTGAATTAGGAGACTTGTTTATTTTACATCTGTTCCAATAGATACATAATTTAAGTTGAAAGTTGACACTAAATTTACATGTAGTATTCTAAGCATAATCTTAAAATATGTAATAGTGTTCAGTAGTAACTTCGGTCTCATTCAGTTACACGGCTGAAGGCAATTTCAACCTGTTTTACGAAAGCATCTTAGATGTGTGTTTTTGACCAGGCTACAGTCACCTTGTCAGAGAACCCAGCAGTCTCAACCAGGGACCTTGACAAGCTGGAGATCTGTCCAACAATCTTTGCCCTTGGTATTTGAATATTTAGGAAAAACATAATACATGGCATACTCAAAAGTAGTTATAAACAAGGTGGTGAGGCATGTAGGCAGGAGAATGAAGAGGTCCTATCACTCAATATTTTAAAAGGAATTTTTTCAGTCACTCATACCAGGATGTCCCACAGGATTGATGAACCATGTACACAAAAATTCCAGGCCACATGTTTTCAAAAGGACCAATGTCAAAGTGGAATCTGAAATTTAAAAAGGGCAGTTTATCACTACGTGTAATTAGAATAAACATAGTAAGAAAAGAAAATCATTAAACTTGCTGTCTCTCTAGAAACTAAACCGACACTTGGGACTAAGCTATCACTCTCCTGCCCTGCCAGCCACATCCCCTATATCGAGTGGCTTCCAGAAGACATACCACATATTCCCTCAGGAATTTAGTCTAATATTTAAATCACTGATTACTTCTTTGTTAAATAATCTGTAAAAACAGGATGCTGCATTTGTTATCAGAGCAATAAAAAAAGTACAAAAAGATGTACTATACACTTACTATACGACTCACAGATAAAAGGAAAAAACAGCTTATCCGAAGTATTTAAGAGTTGAAACTGTTCTGTCTCCTCTTTAAACTGAGATAAAAATTTCATTAATATAAACACCCAAAGTTATTACCTATTTTGCATTTTCTAATTTAGCTACTAACGTTCAACTGGAATAAAATAAATACTGTGGTAAAGTATATACTATATTTTTAATTGTGAGTCTAACATCAGCTCTGGGTCACTTCTGAAGATGTCCTATGTAGTTACATGGTGTTGGCTTACAATTAAAAGGGGCATACAAATTATCACAGATCTTACCACTAGTAACTTAAATATATTAACACAGGATTGGAAACAAAGCATGAAAGCTAAACCAATTGTTTAGCTTCTTGAATTTAATTTGGAAATTTAAATTTGTATGGAAATAAGAACCTTTAGATATATTAAATGTCATTTTGAATATTAAATATTACATGGCATAAAGTATGCAACAGACTAATGAGAAATGCTACCATTTCAGTTAATTCATTTCAAAATTGAGTTCAGAGTTTGTTTTTTAAGGTAATGAGATCTGGCCTTTATTTCCAAGTTCCATCATAAGATGTGGCGTCACTTCTGAAGAGGAAAATGGCAACTACATATTGACTATGTGTACAAGAATTGCGATTCTAATTCCACAACTACTGGTTTTACTTTAAGTTCAATTCAACTAAAAATCTGTCCCTGAAGAAACTGACGAAGCAACATACTCACAATTCAATCTCTTTGCAGAGACGTCCGGGGAGGTCGAAGCGCATCAGGCCTTGCCACTCCTCTGCAGTGCATATGCTGTGATAGGACAGCTTCTCCATGGTAACCCGGTAGATGCACTCTGAGTGACGGATTCTATGGTACATCTGGAAAGCAAATCGGAGAATAAAAACAATAATTCAAAAATGTATATAGTAGTTTTGTCATTAAAGCTCAGAATCTGTTATTAAACAACCAATACTATACTTGAAACCTAGATAGATTTATTACTCTCCATATTTACATACGCACTAAAGGTATGCACACGTGTGATTTTGAAGATACAAGACAAATAGTTTGTGAAAAAATTATATCTCTGCCTACAAGGCTCATTTAATTCTATAACAAATGCCTTTTTACCAGACATTATCTCCGGGTGGTGAGATTACGTGGTATTTGTCTTCTTGACTATGTTCTATATTTCCAAATTTTTGATAATAAAAGTTCCGAAAAAATGTTCATTTTTTTAATCAGAGAATGAATGAGTGTTAATAATTTTAAAGGATATAAGATCTAAGGTGCTTCTAAAGCTGTTAAAACAAAATCACTAATAATTACACTTTAGTAATTTGGATATATCTCAAAGAACTAAAAACAGAAATACCATTTGATCCAGCAATCCCACTACTGGGCAACTACCCAAAGGAAAAAAAGACATTCTATAATAAAGACATTTGCACTCAAATGTTTATGGCAGCACAATTCACAATTTCAAAGATGTGGAAACAACCCAAGTGCCCATCAGTACATGAGTGTATTAATAAAATGTGGTATATGTATACTATGGAATACTACGCAACCATAAAAAATAATGGTGAACTAGCACCTCTTATATTATCCTGGGTGGAGCTAGAACCCATTCTTTGAAGTGAAGCATCACGAGAATGGAAAAACAAGCACCACATGTACTCGCCATCAAATTGGCACTAACTGAGCAACACTAAGGTGCTCACATGGAAGCAATTTTCACTGGGTGCCAGGCAGGTGGGAGCGGGGAGGTGGGAATGAGTAAACCCATAACTGATGGGTGCGGAGCACACTGTATGGGGGATGGGCACACTTGTAGATCTGGCTTGGGCGATGCAAAGGCATTATATGTAACCAAAATGTTTGTATCGCCATAATATTCTGAAATTAAAAAACAAAAGAAAATAAATAAATAAATTGAAAAACAAAACAAAAAAATAATAACACTTCACCTGCACATCAAACTCAACTTGGGAAGATATCATCATTTCTTCGTCTTTGTTTAGTCTTAACTGCGTGTTTTTTTCTGTTCTAAAAGGACTGAATTTAGGGTTTTACTGGTGTTGCAGCAATGAATTCAAACGTATAACACAAGTTTTTATTCATCAATCACAGACTGTGCCCTCAGAGCGGGCATATAAATTGGTGATTACGTTAGTGGAAAGCGGATAGGTGCACTTCACCATCCTATTCAACTGAAATGTGTACTTGGATCTGTGTGCAAATGCAGTTTTACAAATAATTATAAGGTTATATGTAAGACAAAATTAAAACACGTAGTGGAGTCAATGGACTGTGTCAATGTATACATTTGTGAATTATTAAGTAGGTAAGATTAGTTAGGTGCCCTCTACAGCAAATTCATAGTGAAAACATGTGTTTTGACAGTGAAATTGAGTAGTTTTCCCAACATTTTGCATTTTTAAATAACATCTAGTATAGGACAGCTCATCATCTATAGATAAGACTATATTCACAGTCTACATTGTAATATGAGACTAAATGAGTCAAGAGTTAATATATTTATTTTATCTTTAAAAATATTTAGCTTAATTCTTGGTGATCTCAAAGTCCTCTAGTCCACTGGGTTTCTAAGATCTTTGATTGCAAAGCTCTTTGTTAGTAAAAGAATATTGAAGATGAACTCTCAATCAATGTATACCGCT